ACAATTCAACATTACTACTAGTTCGCAAACACAAATACCACACTAGTAATAGTTCACCAACATATAACATAACGTCACAAGTTCATCAACCTAATGAAACGGCTACAAGAGCACTAACAAACACAAGCACTAATGCCTTCCGCGCGTGTTCCTGGTGCCACGCCTGCAGGCAATCTTCTTCTTCCTGGGTGGACGAGCCTCCTCTTCCTGCACTTCCTCCTCCGCCTCCGCCTCCGCCTCATGATCCAAGCTAGCCATCCGCGAGGTCCCTACGACCACCTTTGGGTTGCCCCTGTTGTCAAAGTCGTTGGGCGTGTACCGGCATCTGGGCTTCCTAGGCTTGAACACATATGGGGACCGAAGTTGAGCGTCCGCCAAAGTCATGTCATCATCAAGCTCATCGCCCTATCACACAATCAAACAATATGGTGAAGACCGACGTCGCAATCAAGTGAGAATCACATCTAAAGGATTAGTCATACCTCTTGGGTGACCGCACCCTCATCATCCAGATAAGCATATGAGGAACTCACATCGTCCCTCTGATGGTGAGATGAGGGGTCTGATGGTGTACCAGACCTAGAGGCAGATGGTTCATCAAATTCGGGATCGTGGCAACCGAGAAGATTCGATAACCGCCTTAACTTCTTGGCCTGACGCTGTAACATGAACAAGTGTATACGATATCAGACTCCGCAACATAGACTGGCTCTCATAGTGAATGTGATATGTACCTTGAGAAATGCTCGTAGTGAACCATCATCATTGCCTTTTCCAACCGATGTTTCCTCCAGAATAGACTGGCTCTCATCAGCTGCTTTCTTGATCTTGGTGCGCTGTGGATGAGAAAGAATGAACACGTTAGCCATTCAAACATGTGTAATACGGCCAACGGGAAAGTAAAGAAGGAACACTTTACCACATAGTTAATCACCGGAACAGCAGGGACTCCGTGCCCTACCCTGACATCTCTGTTGTACTTCCCCTTTGATAGATCCTCAAAGTTTACGGGTTCTTCAAGAATATCCTCATTATATGCCGGCGGGCATATCTCAACTCGAGTATTTTCAAGAAGCCATCGTATGTAGTTATCAAAAGCAAGTGGACTATGCTCACGAAGCTTGGCGTGTGCACTGCTACGAGCTTCCTCCACACAAAGCTGGAAGCGGGTAACATACGAAGCATGATGCTTGTCCCAGTCCTTTATCTTCCGCTGCCTTCTCCTGTCCAACCTGCATGGTACAAAACCAAACATTAGCAAAATCAAGGAGTGACGATGCTTAGTCAATATGGTTCATGCTCTCTTACCTATGAAGTGCTTTGTCCGTATCCACCCATTCCGGCGGGTGAGGCTGGAACAGACCAAACTGACGACACACGCGATGTGGCAAATGAAACTCAACAGCCCAGTTGCATATCAGTGGGCACCGCATACGCCAGAGATCCCTATCCCGCAAGCACATCGGGTTGATGGTAAACTCCGAGGTGTACCCAAGTCTGTCATCGGCGCCATATGGCTGCCATTCCACCTATGAAATAGGGCAACAATGCAAAATTGGTGAATTTTTTCAGGCAAACATGAGAAATGACTGAAGTAATGACCTCGTTACCTGCTCAGGCGTAATCGTGTCCAACTCGGCAACATACTTCTGGTACATGAGATTGACATCGTTCATCATCTCAGAAACCACATCCCACTTGTAAGCCCAAGTGGGGCGCCGTAATTCGTCATCTTCATCTTCATACCAAGGATTAAACCTGACGCTCTTCGGGCGTCCAACAGGCAGACGCTCCCAACTCCATACAGAAAGTAGAAGCATATTACCACCAATGCCTGCACTACCTGTGATCCTGCAACACGCATCGTCCAGCTGCATATGAAAGAAAAACAATGTTAACTTGACAGCAAGCTTGCATTGCTAATGAAGAAATGAGTTGATCACAAAACAGACCAACTACCTGTCGGTACAAGTAGGCAAGAGTCGCTGAACCCCGGCTCCATTTGTTATCGAAGACGGTCAACGCCTTCAGCCACATCCATGGAGCGTTCTTGCTAGTGGAGTCAGGAAACAAAGTCCTCGACACAACATACCACATGTAGACACGAGCATGTGTCTGGATCACATCATCAGTGGCATCCGGAGGGCACGTCGCAAAGTGAGTTTGAATCCACGTGAAAGCAGCTCCGGCTGCTTTCCTTTCCTTCTTCTTCTTCTCTTCTCCCTCCTCTACATCAGCCTCGGCCTCGGGAGGAGCCATACCGATAAGAGCAATCATCTGCTCGCGCCACCCATTAGAATCGGTGCTCATACAGAGAGGCATCCCATCGATAGCAAGACCGGTGATCAACGAGACATCCTCGAGCGTCACGGTCATCTCCCCAGTCCGAAGATGGAAACTATGCGTCTCCGGCCTCCACCGATCAGCAAAAGCGGACACCAGTGGAGCGTTCAAATTCGGCATGGACCGGCTGACCAACTGAATCCACGGGAGTAGTCCTGCCTGCTTGATGTACGGTGTGTACCGCTCATCGTAAGGCATGGCAGGACCAAAGACCCTGTGATACTGAATCTTCAAAGGTTCAAGCTTCTGCAAAAAACAAGTAATGACAAATCTTAGGGCATGTAAATTTCAACTTAAGGCAAATTTGCAAAATATTTAGATTACTCGTTATTACCATCTCCTTCTCGTGCATCATGTAGGCCCGGTGTTTCGTGTCGTAGACATCGTCGAGAAGCCAAACCATCCTTACAAACTTCAAACAATAAACATATATGAGTTCATCTTCATCTCAAATATCGGTATACACTAAACATCTAATATGTGTTCAATTACAAGAATCTCAACATCTCCTTCTCACACAATGAATATGTCATATGTGTTCAAATAAACTCAACATCTAATATTTCAAATAAACTCAACATCTAATATATATCTAAACAAACATCTCATATATGTCTACAAAACTCAACATCTCATAGTTATCTATAAAAATAGGCATCTCATATATATCTAAAAAAACTAAACAATCTAGGGTTTCACTAACAAGAACCATATATTGTGAACTAAGCAACAACACTACGGTACTACCACTATGACTACACATCCTAAATCAAGCAAATCAAGGGTTCCATCAAATCTTGGACAAATCTCTAAAATGACAACAAATTTACGGAGGAAAAGAAAAGGAACGGAGGAGTTTACCTAGTAGGATGGATTGGAGATCGAATCCACGGATCAAATCTTCAGATCTGAGAGGGATGGGGGGATTCGATAGGGGCGCCGCCGCTGCTCTCTGTCCAGAGAGCGGAGAGGGGGAAGAACTGTCTGGTCGGGTTGGGCCGATGCGCTTTAAGTCACTGTGCAGCGCCTAAGCGCTAGGCGCTGCACATTACAAGTGTAGCGCCTAAGGCTTAGGCGCTGCAGTGCTGTCTGTGGGCCGCAACTGGACCAGGGCTGCCACGCTGGCAGGAGGTGCGACGCCTAAGGCAAATGCACTGCATAGTAATGTGCGGCGCCTAACTGTCGGGCGCCACACAAAAGGGTCAGCAGAGTAAAAAAAATTCAAAAGCAGGTTAGTTTGTGATTTGATTTCGCCTTCAGGTCAAATATGTGATTTCTGCCAATAAAGACAACCCTTCACTTTACATCTCTGTCGATTGCCTCACTCGTTTTACTTTCTAACAGGAAGCAGTGACTCATCTTTCGTGCGGCCAATGATATTGAAACGGCTCAAACTTATAGATAATCAAATGGCGGGGATGCCTCGTGTCCGCACACCTCACCCCAGCCACCACACCGTTCTCTACGCGTCTCCCACGTACACTCTGACACGCGTCATGGCCTGAGGCAACAAATCCTCCTTCCGTGGATTCAGGGCACCGCGCTATAAGTGTCGCCTCGACCCTGCTTGCGAAAGCACGGCAGCTTGTCTAGAGATTTCAGCAGTATCGTCGGCTAGTCCAAACTGAAGCAAGGGAGGTCGGGCGGCATGGAGTCGGGCAAGGAGGCCGCGGTGAACGCCGGCGCGTCGGCGCGCGCCGGCATGGAGAAGACGAGGGCCGCCGTGCAGGGGCAGGTGGACAAGGCCGCGGCGTACACGACAGGGCACAGGGAGGCGGCGGTGGTGAACAAGGAGGCGGCCGAGGTGAAGAAGCAGCAGCGGATTCACGCCGCCGAGGAGGAGAAGCAGCGCGCCGTGCGGGGCCACGCCGCCGCCAAGGAGTGCGCAGAGACGGAGGACCGCCACGGCGGCCACGGTGACGAATGAGGCGCGCGCGCGTCGCCGAGGCACGGCGGCGTATGACCAGAGCGACCGGCGCAGTGATCCAGCTATACGTATTCTTTTTTATTTTTAGGGACAGTTCATGTGGTGTTGACTGTGTCGTGTGTGCTTTCCGTAACTCGGGTATTGGTGACGTTTCCCGCTGCTGCTTGTGATCTGTAATCGAACGAGATGTGTGTATACAATTGTTAGATAAGTAGTACAATTGTCAGCAGAACGAATGGTGTTTACGAGACTGAGCTAAGCGTGCTTGATCATGGCGATGCAGGTTTCAAGATTCCTGACTTTCAGGTGAAATGGTTAATAAGATAAAACCCTGGAATGCATAGCTCATGCCGTCAGCATGCCCAATTCGTCTCAATAGTACACCCTCAAATCCTAAATATAAGCCGTTTTCCAGTTCAAATTCCTAAATATAAGACATTTTTGCAGTTCAAAAACAGAGGTAGAAAACATATCAGATCATTGGAAACCACTCTCCGACTGCGCATGCAGACCCATCTCAGTAGTAGGAGTATTCATGTTCAGCGATCATAGCACATACTGTACAGAGCAAGTCCTCTAACTAGGCCAATCACGGCATAGGTATTCGGTGGTACAGTAGCTTTTATTTTTGTTGGTCGAGCGGAAGAGGCTGCCATTTTATTACATCAAAGACCATTGCTGCATAAGGTTTGCCTCTTCAACAACTCCCGGGCGTGGGGCCTGCTGATCTTTAGTGGAGTTCCTTGAGGAAGTCCGCATGATCCACCAGAACCTACAACCCCAACCCCAAGAATAACATTAGCCACAGATAATGTGGCCTGCTGGTTGCCAAGGACACGGAAGAACAACCTCCTAAGAAATCATGTTCAGTATGACAAACATGCCGCACGCAAAAGTTCTTACTATTAATTTGCTCGCTACACCTAGGATGCCTACTTTCTTATAATGATGCTGTTTTCCAATTTTCTATTTTGCATTTACAAGCAACAGCTTGTCCTTGAAGGTGCCAATCCAAGAGTAGACTCTGAAACTATGTACTAACTGGAAACAATTCGTTTATACAGACAAACTAGCAATTATCAGTCACTTCGTGTAAGCCAATTGAATTGTTCTTCATTTCGTCTCAAATTTATTTAATTCATTTAACTGCCAAAGTACATTGACTACAATAAGCTCTTCAAATTTTAAATCAAAGCATTGACTACAGCAAACATATCTTGTAATTAATTCACCCGCCTCGATTCAAATAAAGCAGTGTGATGCACAAGACAGCCAGAAGACATACCACTTTCCAGCCATCGGGGTCAAGGAAAGAGGTGATCTTCGTGTTCAGCCCCGGTAGTGGCCCAGGCTGCCGTAGAATCTTTCCACCTAGTTCTTTGGTAACCAGCTCAACTGCTTCAGCACTCTTGTACACATCGTCAGTGCCAATAGCAACCTGCACTTAGGCAACACAACAACCATTAAGAAAGGAAATGCCAAAACCTAAAGAGGAAATAATGCAAAAAAAACTTGTCAAAACCTGAGCATATGCATTGCCCTTGTTATATTCTGTGACACCATAGTTGTATGTCAACTCCAGAACAGTGGTCTTATCCTCCTCGGCATAGCCCATCATGGCAATTGTGTACTGTACAAATCATAAACATGCGCAGTTCATCATAATTCGAAGGACAAATGGCATCAGAACAACAATTGTCATGTGATGTACCTTGTACTGAGGCACATCTTTTTTCCTCAGAAGCTTCATCCCAAGGGCCTGCATAAAAGACAGATGTGAGAATATCAGACATATAACTATAGTCCTAGAGAATATTCAGAAAGGATAGTGTCTCTAACGTTTCAAACAGCCTCTCCTTTTACAAAACAATACCTTCTCGTAGAACATGATAGACCGATCAAGGTCACCAACACGAAGCATAACTTGACAGAGAGGCTCAGGCGTCGGACCCCTCTGGATAAGCTCGAACATGTAACCATCTGGGTCTTGTGCAAAGGCAATCACAGTGGACCCTCCCTTGACAGGACCAGGTTCACGAGTGATCTTACAACAAGAAGATGATTTAATTGTCTCAGCCAGCTTGTACACCTGCGTTGCATCCACGACATCGTATAAACCTGAAGGTCTGTAACATGAAGGGTAAGATGTTGCAGGTAAGCAATACACACATCCTCATTTGCGATGGCAAAATGTCCAAAGCCCGCTCCAATGTCATACTTGTCAACACCATAATCTATCAAACGAGAACGGACATATTAGCACAACAGGAGGTGGAAAAGAATGACACTATTAACCCACCAAAGAATTTATCGGCTCATATGCAGAGAGAAGAATAAAGACCCCATCAGTTTTCCAGTACTATCACTGAGGCAGATACACACGTCGACCAAACATTAACAAGGATATCAAACCGGTTGCATTAGAAACAATTGCGAGCGGACCAATGAACATACTGTAAGTCAGCTCAAGTGCAAAATTAGTGTCCTCAGGTCCAAACCCAAGAAACGCATTGGTGTACTTCTCTTCAGGAACATCTCTTTTCCTCAACAGCTTCATCCCAAAGCATTCTGTGTAACACCTATGAGAATTAAATCACTTGCATCAGCACAAACATACTAGTATTGATGGTGCAAATATAAACATCGACCGGAAGTATAGCTAACATACTTAATGGTACGGTCCAGATCTCCCACACGGTAAACAGCATGCAGCATCCTCTTTTTGTCCTGCTTAGGCCACTCCAGCACGACCTCCGCGGGCTTTCCAGCTTCGCTACCGGTTGCCATCCCTGTTGTCACTTGTCAGAGCTGTTATGCATTCCATGATTAGAGCAAGGGAAGAGGTAACAGGATAATCATGAGAAAAAACAGTGAACAAAAAAGCATGTACAAGGAGTCCCCGACATGAAAGTTAAGCTACTCACACAGTCAGAATCATGGCACAAAATCAGAATGCTTCAAAAGCATAATATCAGTCGAGAGAGCATGTCTTACTCTCCATCCACCATCAACAATGTAATCGTTTTGCGAAGTAAAGTCTGCCAAAACAGCCACTTCACATAACAGAAACGTTACTCACTCGTAAAAAATAAAATTAGCGTTTTCCCAGCCCAGCTCAAGATCTGAAAGCGTCTCATCCTCTTACCACCAATATAGATTCCAACCTAAGTGTGGTTCTCCTCCTAAACCGAACTTTATTTTTTCTTTTTGAGAAAAAACTCCAGCAAAGTGCACACACGTGTAGTTGGATTGAGGTGGTTCTATAAAAGGTCGGATCGGGGGATTTTGCCCATGATTTCTACAGTATTTTCGAAAAATCCTGCCCATCCGCAGTGCTTGGAACAAATCAAATTATACAGATAAGAATCCCAAGTAGAAAGGGGAGGAAGCTACCAAAAACTTGTATCAGAAACCTAAGAAATCTGAGCAGAAAGAAAGGAATGCGGAACCGGAAACTACGCACCCGGCGGGTAACGGGAGCAACCGGGGGGTGAAGAATGAGATGGATTTGGGGATGCTCACCTCGGAAATTCGATCCGGCAGATAATCGGCTTGATTCGGTTTGGTTTCTTTTGGACCCACGCTGAGGAGGTTCTAGAGGCTTCTGCAGTACTCCCTTCATTCCACAATGTAGTGCTTTCTCTATCCACGTGTTTCAACTTTGACCATAAATTTAATTATCGAGACCGATTGCGGCGGGAGTAAAAATTATATCAGTGAATTCGTATTCGAAAGAAGTTTTCAATTATATAATTTTTTCTTCCGCCGCAATTGATCTTATTGGTTAAATTTATGGTTAAAGTTGGACTTCGAGAAGCGAAAATGCACTATATTTTGAAATGGAGGGAGTATATGGGAGTTCAACTGAAACAGAGAGACGTCCAGGTTCTGTCAATTTGGCAGAATGCTAATCACAAACATCACCTACTACTAGCACTCCAAAATCGTGTTCTGCTGAGGTAAACAAACATCACAACAATTACTGCTATATGCTCGTGGGCCCAGACAACTCTACGGCCACGAGAAGCAACTACACATGCTACAGTGAAGAGAGTGCCACATCTACAACAAATTTGGCAGAAAGGTTTTGCTACAACTACTTTTAACTTTACTAGTAAATGTGCAATGCACGGTAATATTTAGAGAAAATTAAGAATTAGATAGGATACGACCTCACCGTTGAAGCAACCTAGGTCATTAGATTGATGTAGTTTAATGGCTGAGATTAATTAGATCTGCTCCTTTGAGTTTTTTTATATTAGTACAGATTATGAAAGTTGCATTACCAATTCTCAAAGAATGGCACATCAAAGTGATCACATAGTACTGAGCTCTAGTCGAGGCCATACATAATTGAGAATGATCATCTTGACCGTCTTTTGTGAGTTGTGGGCATCTTTGATAATCTTAACATAGGCTTGGTTCTTTTGATAATCTAGGGAGCTGGTCCTTTACATTGTCATACCGGTTGTAATATTGAGCATTTACTTTTCTTTTTTTTTTCGCTCCGCTTGCGAGCTGTAATACTTTTAACACTTTAGGCTACTTCGAGACTTCTTAATAAAAGGGTTGCATGCATTGTTTCGATGCAGAGGCCAGGGACAAGCCTCCATTTCCAAAAAAAGGAAAATCTCGGTCTAGAAAATCTTGAGCCAAAAAAACTTGCTTTTGCTTCAGTACAATCCAAAATCTAAAAAAAATACTGTATTTTCCCATAATCTCAAGATTTTGGAGTCCCTAAAAAGAAAAATGTTTGAATTAAAAAATATCCCTATTATAGCACGTAATTACGGTCAGAATGCCACCGACCCATCCACCCCTCATGTACAGAAAAATGAGGGGGCGCTCGCGATCGACCAACCACGCATCAAGCGAAAGAACTCGCCCACGCGCAGTGAGCGCTAGGGTTGTCGCACCGCCGCCAGCCTCGTCACCGCCCTGCTCCTTCCTCCGCCGCTCTACCCCCGTCAGCCCCGTCTCCCGTCCGCGCGCCTTTGCACCCGGCACACGTGTGTGGAGCAATGCTATAGTTCGTCATGATCATTTTTCACAACCCCGAGTATGTATCCATATTGTTATATATAGGATGGTATGTTGTAAATTTCTAATGTCTTTTGATGTCCTATTACAGATAAATATTACCTTGTGCACTATGGATATCCAGACGGGGTTGGATATCTGGCACCATACAAAGGGCAACGATATCATGTACCAGATTTCCAACAGCACCCACCGGTGGGAGGTATGAGACAATCAACCATCGTCATTCTTTGTGAAATGTCATTGAAAGAGCATTTGGTGTTCTCAAGATGAAATGACAAATTCTCGGAGGCATACCTCGGTACAAACTAGAGACCTGAAAGATGATCGTCACTACATCCATGTGCCTCCACAATTGGATTCATGATAGCAAGTTATGTAATGAGCATTTTGACAAGTTTGTTAGTGATGTGTATGTGCAACCTCCATTGTTGTTTACAGGTGCCAACGCTCTACCACCAGAAGATGATGGTAGCATGACCGCAACACGTGAAGCTATTGCTGCCAGTCTCATACCTTGAGATTATTTTTTCTATTTTTAGTTCACCCACTTTTGTAAGGAACAAAATTTAAACCATCCTAATTGTAATATTTAGCACTTTATGATATTCGTAAATCATTTTTGTGCTCATATGAAAAAGTTATGGTTTGAAACAAGGTGTTAACAAATCATCAAACAATTTTTGTCTAAGGGCAGTACAGACATTTCAGCACACAACTCAATCCACAATCTCTTTTTTTTTGCGGGGTAACTCAATCCACAATCTCAACCTACAATCTTAGAAAAGAACTCGACAGTAGATTCTATGGGAAGCAGATTCTAGGAGAATTTTCTAGAATCTTGATTCTGCAAAATCCTGCGCGAAAAGAACTGGGCTATAGGAGAGTTGTAGATCATCTCCTTAAAGCAACTCCAACATATCTTTAAGAGTTTACTTCCTAAAACCCATTCTCAAAACTTAATATTTCCTCCGTCCCAAAATAAATGACTTAACCTTAGTACAACTTTGTACTGAAGTTAGTATAAAGTTGAGACACTTATTTTGGGACGGAGGAAGTACTTAATAATTCCTTAGTGCTGACAGGGTGAGGTCTCGCCATGCTAAAATGTTAACTCCCAAAGAAGTTCTTCTTTTGCTAAATTGTCCTCTTTTACATAGAAACACCATTTAAACTTCATTTCAAACACCAGTTGAACTTTGTTTCAAACGCCATGACACTGACAAGGTTAACATGCACTAAACATAATCCCTCGATAAACTTATTTTAGTGACACAAAAATGACATGATATGAAACAAAAATCTGACACAACAAAAGTCTCACTACTCTTCTTATACTTCTTCAACTCAAATGAGTTGAGCCTCCTCTTGCGCTCCTCCCTGTAGTGCATGTTGATCGTCCCTAGTATCAGCCACCTCCAAGAGGGCGAAGCCAAGATTCAGACATAGTGGGCAAAAGATACAAAAAACACAACAAGAGGTTCTCCTAAACCAAAGGAGAAAAAACTCCAACAAACCACGCACACATAATTGGATTGGGATGGTTCTAGAAGAAGTTGAACAGGGGGATTTTTTTTTCCCATTGATTTCTACTGTGTTTTTCAAAAACCATGTCCAGCCGCACAGCTTGGAACAAATCAAAATATACAAATAAGAATTTACAAATGTACTTGCATAATAGCATAACCTTCTTTAAGATATATAGTGACGTGATTTCAAGAAGCTTCTAAAAAAAATGAAACTCCATGGGCACTAGCACCCACGGTTTTATTGATATAGAAGAAGCATCCCTCATGAGAATTCCAGAAATTCGTCCCCGACGTGGATCGAACTCTGGTCGTTAGGTTTACAATCATGCGCCCCCAACCACTGGGCTATGCCCACGTCCTCAAAATGAAACTCCATGGGCACTAGCACCCACGGTTTTATTGATATAGAAGAAGCATCCCTCATGAGAATTCCAGAAATTCGTCCCCGACGTGGATCGAACTCTGGTCGTTAGGTTTACAATCATGCGCCCCCAACCACTGGGCTATGCCCACGTCCTCTCAAGAAGCTTCTAAGCTGCTTATGCTTCATCAAGATGTCGCAGAATCGTGTCCAGCCCTGTTTCTACTTTATTTCCCAATTGATATACAATATGTGTTGGGATGTCCTTCGTGAATACACTGTAGCAGCAACGCGCGGGTAAACTACTTTGATTTTCTGCATGTCATTTACAAATGCACTCCTACATGCTTAAGATATATGGTGATGTGATTTCAAGAAGCTTCTATGCTGCTTATGCTTCATCAAGTTGTCGCAGAATCACAGCCAACATTGTTTCTATTTTATTTCCCAACTGATATACAATATGTGCTGGGATGTCCTCTGTGGATACACTGGATATTCCGCTAGCAGATCGTTTAGGGGCTACACATGAACTACAGGAAGCAGCCTGAGCCTACTCCTCAGTAGGAGGATCCACCCAACGGCCATGGTCCTTGATTAGCTGAATCAAGGCTTCAGTGGCACCCTCCATTGCAATTCCCCGTTGCACAACAGTCTACAGCAAAAAGATACATGGTGTCAACGGAAGGAAACGATGGCAGTAAGACTGGTCTCATATATTTATTCACGCCATCACTGCACAATTAAAAGGTGTGCTCAACAGATTCATGAACAAATTTGAATTTATCACAATTGTAGCAAAATATCCATCCGGTATGATTCAATATGAACGTGTTGGACTGTTACCTTCCCAACATAAAGGTCGATCTTTCCAGGGGCACCTCCAACATATCCAAAGTCGGCATCAGCCATCTCTCCTGGCCCATTAACAATGCAACCCATAATAGCAATCTGCCACAAATACAAATATAGTGAATCAGGCCAATGTTTTACCTAAAATGAATGGAAACAATCAAGTGTTTGAGAGATTACAGAGACGCCAGGCAAATGAGAGGTCTTCTCTCTAATCTGAGCACTGATTTCTTGGAGGTCGAAGAGCGTTCGCCCACAAGAAGGACAAGAGACATATTCCTGCAGAATTCGTTAACAGTCAGAAATGGCTCCAACGATTTTTTATTTTCGGAAGAGATAATAACCAACCCCCCTCGCCCCCTCTTTGGCTTATATTGGTAGGTTAATCTCAAATTTTCATTGTGACAGAGGGAGTGTGAAGCAAAAACAGTTCAACTGGAAATGGATCTCACTTAGGGGATCTAGAGATAGAGCAAGCCCTATCTATTAAGAAAACAATTCATCAACGTACAGTTTTTGTGTTGCGCATCCGGCAACCCTGTAGCAAGTTGAAGGATGTATCCCTCAAGAATTCAAACTCCTGGTTACCAGCTTCAAGAAGCACACCATCACCCAGACCATCAACTAGAAGAGCACCAACATTGCTCCCAGCACCAATAACAAGACCATCTCTGCATTTATTTGAATAGTGTAAGTACAACATAACAAATACCCCTACTCAGGAATTCCCATGGGAAGAATATTTGGGAGTCACCTATCGATGCTTTTAGGGAAATCAATGTGATGGATCACAGGAAAGTTCAAACCACTGGTCTCTAAGTACTCAAACAGCCTGTAAAACAAGAACAAAAATATATATGTTAGGTAGGCGCAACAAATCAGAAGCACCATATTGGTTATTATGATCTGTTAAGTATAATAATACTTAAAAGACATTAATTGTTTCACAACTGATGGTCTTCTATAGAGTCAAAGACTTCTTCCTGCTTAAATCGTAGTTTATACTTGACCATTTAGTTCACCATATCAATATTTCATTATTTGGAACATGCTGCAGTGAATACTGAACAGAGCTTTTCAATTTGCCTACTGTGTGCACATACCTCCTAGCAGCATGTACTCTACCAGTCTTCTCTTCACCATATGGAACATTATGTAACAACATCGTTATATTATCAACACTCTTAAGAACATCTAGCTGCTCATATGATTCATCTCCACGAAGAGTGACAGCAAATCTAGTGCCTACAAGAAAAAAGAGTAAGTCATGTAACAGAAAAATCAATATCTTTAAACACAGAATTTGAAATTTACATAAGTCAGAAACAATTTGCTACCTTCTGGCAAAAGCTTCTTTGCATCACTTGATAGTTCATCGAGGGTGACAAGCACAATTGCATGTGGGAGTGGCTTTGTTAATTGCTCTGATAAGGGAGTCAACACGCCCATGCTGATGTCAACTAATCTTTTGAGTGCAAGTCTCTGTACAGAAATACAAATTATAGCAGGCAATCTTTCATAAACGAATATAATTATATACAAATGTCTGTCACATGAGAAGGGCAAAGAAATGTATGAAACTCACTGCTTCAGCATCTTCTACAGGGGGCAGTTCTCTCAAAAGAATTGAATCTACAGTTGCCAAATCCTAATGTTCATACAAGAAATCAGTCAGTTTAAACTGAAGTCCCTCTAAAAATAGTTGCATGCTAGAAGATACAGTTATAGAAGATCAGACCTTGAAAGGCATGCCAACCACAAGCTTCGCAGCAAGAGACCTATAAAGGAGCTCAGGAGCCTGGCAAATAAAGGAGGCTTTCATCATTACAGAACACATTAATTCAGACGCGAAATCTATATATCTTCGCTGTAGCTATTTTATCAATCCAAGTAACAAAGTAGCCTTTTGCTAAATGCATCGAAACTAAGAGACTGCGAAAGTCATCCTGGTTTAGATTAGAAAATAGCTGCATCAAGATATCTTTTGGTGGTGTCACACAAGGAACATATCAATACGGTCCACAAGAAGAGTAAGGAAGATGCAGTTTACCTTCAACTGATCTAAGGAAACTGACATCAGAACAGAGCCATCACGATGAAGGACACCTCTGTAATCTACTGCCTCACCCTGTTGTGAGAGCAATTTGTAAGAAATATGGTACCATCAGTTTTAATGATCTGGTAATTGATTGTTTTTGCCTGACCTCCTTCTGCAAAGGCAACTGGCCACTTCTACGCTGGAAATCAAAATAACGCCTATGTTTTTCTTCAAATGGGGCCTAAGAGCACAAGATAAATGCTTTAATAGTGCTCAAACAATCAGATATGGCAAAGCATTACTGCAAAAAAAAAACATTGCACTATAGCAACTAAACAAGAGGAAAATGAACTGCTAGGGAAAGGGAAAGTTCATTACCACCCCTATTTGTAGGTTTGCAGCCTGAGTTCCAAGATTTGCGAGTCTCCTGCAAGGATCAATTTCTTCCTCTGGTGGTTCTGTGAGGGATACACGGATTGTATCACCCAAGCCATCCTACAAGACAACAAACAGAAGATATAAGCCTTACAACCTGTTCAAGAAAAAAAATATACACATATATAGGCCTTACAAGAGACTAGTAGTCATAACATGTGTCAGATGATAGCATGGCAAAGGTCTCAAGATACAACAAAGTAACATACAAGCAAAGCATTGGAAAGTGAGCAAGCAAATCTTGTCTTGTACATCTCAATCAGCTCATTGGCAAACTATAATTCAGTACTCTGAAATACTGTTTTGGAATCAGCTATCTGAAGTGAGCTAGGGTCCTGAATACCAAGTTTATTGAGTCAAATAAGCAACCTCAGCTTCCAACCATAAGTTTTGAAAAGCAAAGTATTATTTATTTATAAGAATCAATCAAGATTCCCATGTAATTCAACTCACTTTAAGAACACTTGTACGAAAGAAACTCATTCACACAACACTAGGAAGTAACAATGTATTTACCATCAAAAGTGTTCCGATGCCAATAGCAGACTTCATCCTCCCATCTTCACCCTCACCAGCTTCGGTAACTCCCAAGTGCAAAGGATAATCCCATCCAAGGTTATACATTTCCGCCACAAGCAGGCGATATGCTTGGACCATGACAACAGGGTTACTTGCTTTCATTGAAAATACAAAGTTATGGAAGTCCAAATTCCGACAGATCCTAGCAAATTCCAAAGCAGACTCAACCTGAAATTAGTATGCAGAAAATATCATGCATCTATCAAATGATGGTTAAGCATATCCTCAGAAAAGAAATAATTACCATTCCCCTTGGAGAATCACCATAGTAGCTCATTATCCGGTCAGAAAGACTACCATGATTTGTTCCAATACGCATGGCTCTTCCATACTTCTTGCATTTCTCAACCAATGGAGAAAAGACCTGAAATGATATTACAGCGGCGCGCAAGTAAGATGACACATGATATGTTCGTACGGATTGAAGCAGCAGCAAGAGATTGAATAAAGTTTTGACCTTCTCAATATGTTCAAGCTCCTTTTCGTAATCGTCTTCAGTATATTCCAGCTTCTCAAATTGGGCACGGCGATCGGCTAAAAGTAATGTTCTCAGCACTCATGATACAAGATTAAGAATTTGGCCAACGCAAATGAGATACATCGTGGTATCACTTACCGAAGTTTCCTGGGTTAACACGGATTTTGTCAAAGCATTCGGCCACTCTTAAAGCTACTGGGGGCGCAAAATGAATATCAGCCACAAGAGGGATGTTGTAACTGTTGAAACACAAAAGGAAAGTGAGGACTCATTCATGAGAACTAACAGAATCTGTGGCAATTTTTTACTCCAGTACTTACTTCTTCTGGACAAGAGTGTTCTTAATCTCAAAGCAGGCATCAGCCTCCTTTTTACCCTGGACGGTTATTCTAACAAAATCAGCGCCTTTATCTGCTATCCTCATCACCTGCAATGTGATTGATATACTTGGTCAGTTCACCAAACAGAAATCATCTAAAAAGATAAGGGGACTATGCAGGGCTGGCATCCACAGATAGAGAGCACACCTCTTCCACGGTCTTGGCAACATCCTTGGTATCTGAGGTAGTCATAGTCTGTATCCTTATGGGGTGATCACTGCCAAGTGCCACGTTCCCGACCATCACAGTGCGTGTTTTTCTCCTCCTTGTTTGGTGAATAGATTCGCAGTACTTCTGCCTGGGAACTAAAGAACAACAAACGGGGAAAATCATTCAGTATTTCAGATAGATACAAAGGCACAATATAACTCCGGAACAAACCCTATAGCATGGGAAATAATTTGAGTCCTATATGCAAGGAGACCAGAGCATGGGAATTATACCAAGAAGCGGGCTTCCTTCGGAGGCCGGCTCGAGCTCCATAGTATCAGACTCTGTACTTGAGCTCCTCACCACGAGGGCCCTGCCTCTGGAGGACCCCGTCCTCAGCGCACCCGGGACGGAGAGGACCTTGGCGAAGTCGACGCTCTTGGTAAAGCCGATGCCTCCGCCGCGGACCTTGACGTGCGAGAGCGGAGCTGGTGCCATCCCGGTGGCCATGGTGCCCAAGCTTCGAAAGCTCGCCTACGCACGCAATCCTACAAACACCTGCGGGGCAACCAAGGTTAGAGGTGAGGTGAGGGGAGCAATGGCTCATCTTCCGTGTGCTTTATAGTAATTGGCAGGAGGTGGTATATTCGCCCATTGCTTGGTGTGCGGCAACAGGACAAGGCCATTGTTTTGTTTTCGAAGTGACAGAATACTCTTTTAAAAATGAACCGGAAACAAAATTAGTAAAAGAGAATTCCGGCTCAATTCGATGGAACTGCAATTCTGCAACCAATCGGGAACAGCTTTGGTTCAAATTGATTCCTCGAGATGAAACCGCGATCGGAATCGTGCAGAGCGAGAAGGAAAAAGCACCGAACCTCGCAGCGCAGCTCCGTCCGGCGACGCCTCTCCTCCACCCTCGTCCCTCGTGGGGGGCCGCTCAGCCGACGGCAGCGACGCGGGAAGCAAGCAGGAGCGTTGGGCTGCGAGCGAGCGAGCGAGCGCGTGTGCTCTTCTTCCTGTAGGCAGCGACAGCGAGGACTGGAGATGGCTGGTGGAAGTGTGGTGCGCGAGTGGTGCGGTTTGTGCCGGCGTACCGGATAGAATTGCCTTCCTTTTATCTCTGCGCTCGCGGAGGTCGCTGCGTGCACCGGGCTTTTCATGCTCCGTAGCGTCGGACGTGCCGCCCGACCCAGTGGTCCTGCTGGACTCGGTCCGCCAAGCGCTGCGGAGGCCGCGAGTGTGGAAGTGGAGTTCCGGGCGCTCCCCGCCATGATTTCATCGTGCCACTCTGTCGTTTTCCGGTGCGCCTCCCGTCTGCTGTTCGTTTTACGGCACTATTCCATTTTCTACGGTTCGAGTTCCCGTTTGTTTACTGGTGAAAGTGCATGGACCAGAAAAATCATGTGACTGTCGTCGTTGCTGCGGATGAGAATGTTCGCGAGCCCTGCGCAATCTTCCCGAGTTACTTACGAATATACTACCATTGAGGATGTTTAGTTTGTTTAGTTCCTCTTATTACTATACGTACTGGAGTACTACTACTATAGCAAACCCGGACTGTATCGCCAACAGAACAGGGGCCCGTGTTAGTGGTCAAACCGCATGTTCAAGGCGGAGAGCACGTGCGTGCTAGGTCGGTCGCCTTATCATCCATCTGTTTTTCCTGTGGAAATCAGCATGTGGAGAGGTCGCAGCTCATGTTTTGACTTGGAACACAGCACGGAACACATTTCAGTTGTGCTGGTCACTCGGTCCATGGCATCCGCCCCATGTGGGGAGAAGAAAGCAGCATGCATGGCTGCCACCTGCGACTTTCAGTTTGAGGGCCTCTTCAGTGACCACATTCCAAACTTGTGTTTCGCAATCTTACATTTAGGTTTTGAGAACACTAGTTGTACCGTGGTAGAGTAGTAGGCTGCAACTTAATCTCCTTTTCACGGTGTTGCCCAAGAGAGATGGCGCACAGCTTTGACAACGATGTTTCTAGGAAATGGTCTTTAAAACAGGAGCAAGCTTCAGTGGCGGGTGCACGGAGCAAAAAGAAAACCATTTGCTTCTATTCCAGATTGGGTACAGTACAATCATTCAAATTACTCTGGCTTGGGTTAGGGCTTTGTTTCTTGAGAGAATTCCTTATTTGGCCCTTTCTTAAAATTTGTTTTCCTTTTTGGCCTAAAATAAAAAAAAATCCCTTTTTGACACTTAAAGTTTATTTTGTTCCCTCGATGACATTTCTGTCTCCTTTAGTCACTAATAATGTTAAGTATGAAGTGAAAAGACCATTTTACCCCTAGTGCACTATGTGACTGTCCACGATATTTAAGTAAAAGAGTAACCACTGATTTTATGATGTTTTGCATATATATGCACTTCAATATTTTTTTTCCTTAGCTAAACTGATCCGTGCATACAAAAGACGGAAAACATCTGCTCGCATAATCATATCTATGATAAGTACAATTTATCACGTTCAAAGTACCCCGACACATACTCATAAATCTTCTAACTAACACACGTTTAAAACTACAGTACACATAATAAATCCTGCGAACAAGTGGACCGCGCGAGCCGGCAGCTATACACCACGCGGACGGCACGCAAACGAGAACGACGAGAGCGTATGCTGCTGGCCACGAGCAGCCGGACACCACTCACCTGGAATGAGAGGTAGTCGCTGTTGTTCGTCGTCCCGTCCGGGCAACTACTTCTGCCTCCCCTTTCGCATGGCGCACGGCTGCTGCAACATGCAGTTCCGGTATCAACTCCCTGCCACAGATGCCAACGCCATGGCCGCCAACCACCAGCGTCGCAACAGTCGGATTTGTTGGTGGCCGAGATGCACCAACGCCTTCGCCAGCTAGAACAGCTAGCTACCTAGCCCGGCTGGCTCGATCCGTCTTGATCGATCAAAGCTAGCACAGCTAGCTACGTAGCCCGGCGTTGCACACGTACACAACTCCTATGCTTTTTTTATAACAACTCCTATGCCTTCTTTTAGCTACCGCGATGTAGTGACACCAGTCCTACAGTACACGGACACGTTCACGCACAAGTAATCAAGCATACACGCATGGGATGCTATTGTCGTATTTAACACCAACAAAGAAGACCACGACCGGCCAGGAGTGCTGGAACACGCGCATGGGCACACGCCGTTCCATGCATGCCGAGGTCGACGATCCGTCACCCTCCGCCTCGCCATGAGCAGCAGCAGCATCAAATCGGGGTGGGAAATAGGGAGAGAAGTTCGGTCATAGGGTTTCTTCTTCATTTTACCTATGAACTAAAGCAGGGGTAAAAAAAGACTTTTTGGATTGCACCTGATTGTGTTAGTGGCCAAAAGTGATGAAAATGTCATTAAGGGAACAAAATGAAGTTTAGGTGTCAAAAAGGAAAAAAATGATTTTGCAAGGCCAAAAAGGAAAACATATTTTAAGAAAGGGACAAATAAGGAATTCTCTCTTGTTTCTTAGACTAGTAAGCGTGCACGTGTAACACACTGATGGCCATAGAAAATAATTTCCTCATTTATCCTAGTAGGAGGCAACAAAAGAATATCATGGATCAGTTTTGAGACAAGATATTTAGGTAATATTTCTGAACCTTGACACGTCTTCAATGTATTTATAATTTTTTATTGTCTCATCCTATTATAATATCAATCTTGGATGTTTTATATGTAATTATATGTTATTTTTTATCATTTTCTGGGACCAACTTATTAACCCGGTGCCTAGTGTCAGTTGCTTTTTTTGTCTGTTTTTGGTTTTCCAAAAAATCAGTACCAAACGGATTCCAAACGTTACAAAAAATTTTGACGATTTTTTTCTGAACATGAGAGACCCTTGAAGCTTCGGGAGGAGACCAGAGGCAAACGAGGAGATGGCAAGGCA